GCCTGATTTATAAATAAACTTCATTGTAGGTCTGTATGTACAGGAAAACACATAGCATATATAGGGTTCAGTACTACCTGTAGTTTCAGGCATTCACTGGGGGTCTTGGAACATAGTCCCCACAGATAAGGGGGACTATTGTATACTTAGCATCATTCTTCACACATAAAAGTGCTCACTGATTGCTGGCTGTGATTGTTGTTTGGATATAGGAAGAAATGAAATGAATAAGACCCAGTTTCCACCCTCCAGCTGTTCAAAAGAACCCAATAGAGTTCAGGAGACACAGACCGGAAAGCAATTATAACTGCAATAAATCCAGCAGCAAAGAGAAGCATGCAGTTTCATGTGAAGCCAAGTGGGAAACGGTCATTCCTACTGGACACGTTGGGCAGGGAAGGGAGAGTCAGACAAGCCTTCTGAGAAAAATGCCCCTTCAACTGCATCTTGAAGGATGAGTAGGAATTCCCACGTGGTGGAAACAGCACATGCCAAGGCACAGAGCTATGCCAGCTTAGTACTCTGGGGACCCTTGTATGTTGCTTTTGGAAGTTAGAGGAGGTGGTGGTGGTATCCTTTGGGAGGGGCTGGTTTATCAGTCAAGAACTCACACTCTGTAACCCAGAGTTTGAATCCTGACTTAGGTGCTTAACCTGTCTTTCTCAGTTTCCTCATCTGTAGAAAGGGAGTATGGTTTACACCGTTTGTAAAGGGCCTAGCACAGTGACTAGCACAAATTAAATGCTCAATGAATTTAGCTGTTACGATTGACTATCATCATCATAGACTGTGGGCAGCAGGACCACAGAGAAAACATGGTTCGATTTCCAGGGAAGACGGTTGGCAAGAGCTGGCACAGAACAGAGTCCCTAGCTATCAGCTATTGAGGGCAAAGCTAAAAACCTGACCATGAGGGGCGAACTAAAGGGTCCTTAGTGAGGGTAACCAGGCAGAAACCTAGTCAAAGGCTGAAAGCCCATGGGACAGAGTGCTGTCCCACTCAGAGGGTCCTCCTGGGCCACACCGTAATTCCATGCTCCAGCGGATGGGACTGAAATAGCAAATGTCCCTCCCCTGAATTAGCTTTCAACATGGCTGACCTCAGCTGCAGGAAGATGCTGGGTTAACACAAAAGGGAGAAAAAAATTGAGGGGAAAAAGATCTTTTAAACAATTATAATATCTTAGAAACACATATTTGCATGTATATGTTATGGCATATCTAATAAAAATGTCCCCTCCTTAATATACCAGTCTTTACTGTGATCAGAGCAAATACTGTAACTCTGTTATTTATAATAAGCCTGTGCTTTTCCCTAGTAGTGAAGTAAATAGCTGTACTCAAACTGAAAAAATTATGAGAACTTCACTGCAATCTTTGCTTAGTAATTCAGCAATACCATTCCTTGCTTTTATCATTGAATTTTATAGAATATTTAGTTTTTGTTGGGAAAAGAGTTGAATTAGCCTGACTTGAGTAATCTCGTTAAGGACATGGGTATTTATAATCCATGAATGTCCCTTAATATAAGCTGCTTTTGCAAGTAATACTAAATCTAACTCCCCTTTGTCTAGAACTTCTAAAAACTTGATATCCAAACGTGACTACAGGTTAGTCATTTTAACATTGGTCCAGGCCCTCTCCAATGCTATACTGCTCTCTCGTGGCGAACATGGGAAACTGCAACCTGGAGTTTTTGTCCCTTTTCAGTTTCTAATTTTGAGGTGCTTTACATATCCTTGTATACTGCCTTAAATGCTTTCTGGAATAAAGCAAAGTCTAAACAAATAAGTAAACAAACTTATAAGATGGGCCGTGTTACCTAATGTTAAACATAGGTGTTGAAAAACCCATCTGCCTGAGTTCAAACCCCAGCTCTGCCACTCACCAGCTGTGAAAACCTAGGACCCCGGGGCACACTCCATTTGGCCTCCTCTCCATTTTACAGTTGAGGAGCCTGGGGCTCAGCGGAGTAACTCAGTTCTCCTGGCACATTTCTAGCACTTTTTCCATCGGTGCGACATGATAACTGCTTAATGCTTCTGAGTCCTCGTAAACTTACGGTAAGTAACTTTCATGAAGAGAAACGGACAAAGCTGTGACCAACCAACCATAAGTTACCCACACAGAAACCTGGATGACAGGGCTGAACGGGGACAGATCTTTAGAAGCAGAAAGGCTTTCCTACCCTACCCCACCACCAAATTTTACAATAAAAATATTTTCAAGAAAATAAGGACTGGCCTGGGCAATGACAGGGCAATGAGTGCTGGGACTTCTGGACAGCTGGTACTACTCAAGCTAACGCAGTGTAAGGCAGAGTGGGCTCTGCAGCATTTTGGGGACACATGTCCTCTGTAATGGACTGTGACACACCACTACGACCCATCTTTACAAGTGACCAACCTCTGTGGAAAATGCCCTCAGCTAAAGAATGCTGCCCCGCCCAAGGCCATCCCCCCTTCCGAATGTTTGGTCAATGTCAAGGTATAAAGAACAGCACCCCCAAAGCAATGGCAGACAACTCTGAAGGGCTAACCCTCGCTTCAGAGCTCCCTGCTGAGGGCCCTGCTGAGACTGCATCACAGCTCAACTTCTCCTCACTCAGTCGGCTTCCCTCCTGAGCATTCTGAAAACACACCAGGGAAGCCTTCCTGCAGCCATTATCTCAGAGCCTGCTTCCCAGGGAACACCACCTGCAACAGCCTTTTTCTGATATAAAAACATCACGCTTCATGCCTCCTGGCCCATTTTTGTTATTGTTGTTTCAATTTAAAACAAATTCAATTGTATACTTAACCTCTCCCACCTAAGGAGAGTCTGTGCTTAGTATCCAACAAAACCTACTTAAAAACCCTTTCCCCATTGCTACCATACACATGGCTGCTGCTTCCCCAACGTAAGCTCTATTTAAATTTCATAATCAAAGCACAAATATATTCTCATTGTAAAAGCAAGGCCTTTTTATACCCCCTGCTCATAGCCATCTCATGCCACTGTTTTCAGTTTGGGGCCCTCCAGATTCTTATCTCCCGCTCAATGCCTTGACAGCCACTGCTGTCATCACCTGCACATCTCAGCCAGACAGGATTTTGAACAGCATCAATTTCCTGTCGTCTATTTTATAAACCAATGTTTGTGTATTGTTTTCATTTTCTTTTTTTTTTTTTTAAGATTTTTATTGGGGAGTTGGGGGATGGGAACAGCACTGGGGAATCGGGGGAGGGGAACAGACAAGTTGCTGTCCTTTTGTTCTTCAGACTAGTTGTGGAGGATGTTGCTTCACTGGCCCAAGTTGGCACCATCATTGCACTCTTCCCGGGAGAGGCAGATCAGTCGCCGGCTTCTGGACGGCCGCTCACTGCAGCTGCTGGCCGCTCACGCTGGCTGCTGGCTACTCACGCTGGCTGCTGGCTACACACGGTAGCCCATGGCAACCCACTGCCACAGGGGCTGCAGCCCACGCCATCGCCGGCGACTCACAGCAGCCCAGCTCCAGATTGAGCTGTTGTTCAGCATCTTAGCTGTAGAGGGCAGTGTCACTGGCCCTCATATGTGGGATCCGAACCGGGGCCCTCTGGCGTCCCAAGCCAGCTCTTAACCAACGCGCCACTCGGCCGGCCCTGTTTTCATTTTCCAAATACAAAATAGCATTACAATGCTTTGTCAAATGGCAAAAAACCTTAATTAATTTATAGGGATTAACGAAGAGCCAGTTGGGAAGGAGACTGCACCTAATTTAAGGCATCTGAGGAAACATTCAGTGTTTGGTAAGTTTAAAATGCAATCAAATATGATTTTAAAGCAATATTGAGGTACTAGATAACTTATACATAGATTCATGATGAAGGCTTACACTCAATCCCTAACCCTGAGGAACTCGACAGCAAACACAAACCAGAAGCCCAGATCAGAGCTTTGTAGAGCCTCCTGAAGGGAAATTTCAGGGCAGGTGCTCACCTCGCCCAAGACACCAGGACACCCAGTCAACTCAATCCCGATGCATCATGGTCCTGAAATGTGCTTTGCACAGAAAGAAACTTCATTCTGAAGTAAATGGAAAGGCCTACTCACCCCCTCACCCCCCCCCAAAAAAATCAACTTGAGGTATCTCGAGGAATATGCTTCAACTGGCAGAGGATGGTATCTTCCAAAGTATCTGGGTGTTAGGCGGGGGTGTTCATTATACATTTTTGAATAAGGAAACTATAAAACTGAAAATGCAAGACTACGTTGGGAGACAAAAAGCAGTTATTTCGGGGGAAAAAACTAATTACAAGGACAATGAGGAGAAAACACAGGGTGAGGAAATGTCTAGGAAGGGCAGGAACAACAGTTCCTATGAATAAATAATAAAAAAACTACCCAGAAGAGCAAGCAGGCACTAAGCTACACTGCTACACCTGCTGTGTCATAGGGAATGCTTTGGCCGCAAGTAACCGAAAACCCACAAGGCCCATTTTTCTTCTTTATCTTTCTCATATAACAAGAAGTCTGGAGATAGCTCTTGCTGGCGTTGGTTCAACAGCTCGGCAATGTCAAGGTTCACATCCCTGTCATCCGAAGTCTATCCCTCTTGGTCATAAGACAGTTGCTGCACGGTCACTCCTCACTGGAAGATGACCAGGGAGAAAGAGGTTGGAAATGGACCTGGCAACCGACTCTCTACCATAGCAATAAGCACACTGTGGGCAAACTGGGCTTTTCTGGAAGGAGAGCCTGGCAAAAGGGTGAGTGCTGAGTCCATTCAAATGGAAGCTAAGCCCCTGGCAGGTGTGCAGGCTGAAGGATCTAGAGAAACGTGATTTCCACTCACATCAGTATATGGGCAGAAGGACAAAATACCTACTCCAAACCTATGTTTCATTTGTATTACTCAAGAAACTCTTTCTACAGAACTCTCTTTCAAAACAAGTTCAGACTTTATGAACTAGTAGTGAGAAGAAATAAATGAATTTGAATTGCTACGAAACACAACCAAGTTAAAAAGGCATATTTATTTTACATTCTATTTACAAAGGAAAGAATGTAACTATAATAAGGAACAGAGGAAATAAAATGATAGACATGCATATTTACATAGCAAGTATAGGCAAAATTATGAAGAAGATTCTTTAAGTACTAGCATTTATCAAATCAGTTTTTAAAAATAATTCTCTATCACCTCAGAAGAATTTTTAGGAGGCTCAACCTATATGATTCAAACTATAACTATCTTAATGAAAAAATTATATTCTTTGAAAATCTCCAAGGTCCTGGAGGTCAACCAAGTCAACCAGATCACTACCAATTTTTTTAAAATTCAGAGGCTCTTAAATTAGAAAGTCATAATTGCTTTAAAAAACTCAAACATACTATCATTTGCTTAGTACCATACAGACTTAGCTTACATGAACTTCTTAATCCATTAAAATGGCTCCTGTTACCTTACAGTGAGACCCTCTATATGAAAAACTAATGTTCTCTAATGAGAAACATTAAGTCATTTACTATTTAGCTCTTAGGAAAATCATTCAAAGTGTGTATTCAGCCTTTAATAACATTAACATACATGAAAAAAAATCAATATACATAACTATCATCAGATCCAGCTGCTGGATCTTCTAAAACCACACAGGTATTCTTAAGAGTCAAGGTTCTTCGGGCCGCTGCCCTAATACACCCCAGGGTACAGACTTCATTTAACTTCATTAACAGAAGATTAACATGTACTGAAAGGCATGCCGGCATATTTCTGCAATCTTTCCTTGTAAGGGTAGACAGCTCGCATTGTTCACACCTTGGTCACACCTTTTGTGTTTGTCAGTTCTTCCTTTAGTTCTGACTGTGAAATGTGATGTCCAAACTGAAATAAAGCAAATGTTTACCACAGAAATTATTCTAATGTAAAAAAACCAAAAAACAATGGCACCAAATGGCCCCTTGAGGTTTAATTCATTCAACAATAACTAGTTATTTGAAAGTGGGCTATGTGTCAGGCACTGTGCCTGAAAATATACAAAAAGAGGTGTTCTTTCTCTAAGTTGCTTGTATTTGGTTGGAGAGAAAGTGCTAAGAACAGTGAACAGTACAAAACAAGCCTGTGATTCCTCATTGACTCACTATCATTGGGAAACAGTATGTTCCACGCAAGTGAATTCTTAGGTAACTGAAGGTTTTCCAACATCCCAGCATTTTAATAAACCAAGTTCTAGTCACTGCTCTGCCAGTCAGAGGTGAGGTTACAGGCAGATTACTTAAGCACTAGGAGGCTCATTTTTCTCGTGTATAAAATAGGTAACAATTGCTGGGTTTTTGTTGCTGTTGTTTAGGATATTGCTGTGAAAATTAAATGAGATGAGCAAAAAAATACTTTGCAAGTTATAAATTTCTATACAAATGTTAAAACATTTATTTTTAGACATATTTTCATTTTTATTGTAATATTTCTAAACCATATAAAGTAATACCTTGGTTTGCAAGCATAATTCGTTCCAGAAACAAACTACTCATGCTGCAAGACATCACTTGTTTACCACGTTAAAATGTATTAGAAATATTTGCTCGTCTTGCAGAACACTCGCAAGCCAAGTTACTCACAATCCAAGGTTTTACTCTACCTTTTTGTCTTCTTAGAGTCAAGAATTTCCTGACTCTATCATGTTGATGATAAACATCAGATATTGTGGACACACACACACACACACACACACACACACACACACACACTAGTAACTCAGAGACCACACACACTAGAATACGAGGATAATTACCCCGATTCTGTTATGCTCTCTGAGTTGCTATTTGCTTCTTAGTTTTTCCCTATCCTCCTCTTCTGACAGCTACCACTCCTCAGTGCTATCTACCTGCCTTCAGACGCTGTCCCTCTTTCACAGTCCTCTTAACAACAAGGCTTATTCTTAGGTGGTTCCTCAGCTAAATTATGAGATGGGAAAACCACTCCCAAGATTAGAATTATGTTTAAATTAAAGAAAAGAGACTTCAAGTAAGGAGCAATCTTAAGCGTCAAGTGTTTTAAATATAATGGGGTATCCCTTTAAGTAACCAAAAAGCATTGTCATTGAAGATAATTATACTCCTATTTGCTTTTTTTTTAAAGCACAGTTAACATTCTATTTAAATAATCCAAAGACTATATTTGACTGAGAAAAAGACTGGAGGATTCACATTCACAGGTTAGGTTGAATCTATCGCACCATTTTTCTCGGGTCCTCCAAAGTTTCCGACACCCAGTTCATATTTCAGACAGCAACATCAGGCAAGCACCTGTTCAGGGTGAACCATTACAAACTTATGCACAATATTTTCCTAAGCAAGTGCTTTATTTAAAAAAACTTCATAGGAGGCTATAAGCTAAAATGAGCATGTAAAAGTTAATAAAAACAACAGAAAACATTAGCAGCAGCAACAAATAATTGTATATAGCCCATTCTGCATGGTTAATGCAAGAGAGCTTGAAGGCAAAGTTACATCATGAACACTTTAGAAAAACTGAAAAATTAACTGTACATTATTAGAGCTCACCCTTGAAGTTTCTGGACTGGAAAATGGAGAAGACTCCCATGACCTATTTTCTTTCTCAAAGGAATCATCACCTTGAAATGCAAATTTCTGCTTAAGTGCCTGGGATATTAAAGACACCGGATCCCATTGTGAATTCTGTCTTTTCCTCTTATGAATGGGTCTGCCTCCAGGTGACCTATTTTTTTTAATTGAATAAATTAAAACTTTGTGTAATTTAAGCTCCTTATTGACAAACAGCAGAAACACAAGCATAAAGTGTTACAATCTAATTAGTCTTTAAGAGATTGAAATTTTTTTGCCACGAACGATATAGGAACCAGAAAACCAAGAAACCAACAACCTTGTTATGACCTAGGATTGATCATATATCTCTGTGCTAAAGAGCTTTATTTTGAATTATCTGACTTTTCGTGGAAAATTTAAATATTTAAAAACTTTTAAAAGGACTATAGAGTTCATGAAAAGAAAATAATTAGGCAATTGTTCATTCACTCTTTACGTGATGCCTACCTACTATTACACCAGGTCCCGTTTTACACTGTGAGGGGAGATCCTGCTCCCATGGAACATTCTGGTGGCAGATAATCAATGAACGAGTAAACAAGGTCACTGTGGAGAGCAACGAGTGCTGCGAGTAAAACAAAACAGAGTACGAGGGCAGTGACGAGGATGCAAGCACTTTAGGTGAGATGATCAGGAAAAGCCTCTTTAAGGAGATGACAAGGAATCAGTTTTAGTGTAAACATCCGGTGCAGCTTGGCATGTGTGAGAAAAGAAAAACAAAAAAACAGGAATAGCTGCAGTGCAGAGTAACATGGGAAGGGGGACGTGAGGTCATAGAGAGCAGTGAGGGCTGGATCCTGGAGGGACTTACAGGCCACAGCAAGGGGTCTGTGTTTTACTCTGAGCCCATGGAAATCACCAGAGGTTTTAAGCAGGGAATGGCACGATCTGACTTCAATTTTTAAAGGATCACTCTGGTTACTAGATGGAGAAAAGATAAGGAGGGGAGAGTGAAAAAAGAAAGACCAGTTTGGAGGCTACTGCAGCTGTCCAAGCTCGATGAGATGGTGGCTTTGACTGGGAGGTGGCAGTTGGATCATGAGCTATATGCTGATGGAAAGAATATGGGGCAGAAAGGAAAAGAAAAAACAAGGATGATTCCTAGATGTTTGGACTGAGCAACTCGGTGACAGTGTTGCCATTTACTGATAGGCAATAGAATTGGGGAAGAACAGATTTTCAAGGTGCAGGAAAGGAACAGGTAGGAAGGAAGAGTTCTATTTTGGGCATGTGAAACTTGAGACACCTGAGATACGCAAATGAAGATGCCAAGTAGGCATTTTGTCAAGTAGGTATGGGGCTCAGAGGAGAGGTGGGGGATAGAAAATTAAATGGAGTCATTAGCATACAACTGGCTTGTAAAGCCACAGGACTAGATGAACTCACCAAATAGATGTGGATGGAGAAAAGAAAGGGGCTGAGGTCTGAGCCTTAGACATACCAACATTCAGACCCGGCTCAGGAGGAGGAATAAGCAAAGGAGTAAGAAGAAGTGGACAGTGAATTAAGAGGAAAACCAAGTCTGATTTCCCTGAAGCCAAGTGAAGAAAGTGTTCCAAAGAGGAGGGGACCACAGACAATATCAAATGCTGCCAAGGGGTCAAGAGGAGCAATGCTATTTGACAAATGGAGTCATGATGACCTTGACAAGAGCAGTTTTCACTGGAGTGATGGGGAGAGACACCACATTACCATCGGTAAAAGAAAGCAATGAGAAATGGAACCAAACTATAAGACAACATCAAAATTTTCTATCAGAAAGGGGAACAGAGAATTAATAATGGCTGGGGGTATACGTGTTTTGAAGATGGGAAATACTCAGGAGTAAGGAGAATCAAGTAAAGAAGGAAATGTGATGGTGAAGAAGATAGAAAGGATAACTTTAAGTGAAATCCTTGAGAAGATAAGAGAAGGGGAACCACTGACCATAGGGAGAGCCTGGACATGAACAAGGACACTTCTCACAGTAATAAGATTTGGAAGGCAGAGAGCGCGGGTAGTAAATCTGTAAAGATGTGGAAGTCTCATCTGATTTCACAGTAATGTATAAAGCAAGGTTAGCTATAGAAACATGAGAGAAAAGTTGTAGAAATATGGAGGGTATTCTACTAGCCTCTTAGTTGTTTGTCCAGTGATGGTAGCAGTCAGAGTCACCATTTTACACTGACGGTGCCCAATGATACCAGTAAGCGATCTACCGTATTTGCCGGCGTATGAGACGACCCGGCGTATAAGACGACCCCCTAACATTTCCACTCAAAATACAGAGTTTGTTATATGGCCGGCTGTGTGCGATTTTGCGAGTGTGGTAAAATCGCATAACAGCCGAGCATACACCCAGCAGCGCTGCTGATGCCTGAACGGTATGTGGAATGAAGTGGGCGGGCATCGGGAGGCCACTATGGCACGGGGCAAGCACTATGGGCAGTCTATCTGAAGTGTACCTGGCGTATAAGACGACCCCCCACTTGGAGGCATATTTTTCAGGGCCAAAAAATCGTCTTATACGCCGGAAAATACGGTAGCTGGGATCAAGTGTGTACATACAGCCATAAGACTTTTCACTATACTCGCTGCCTCATACAAGGATCAAATCATAACCTCGTTAATAACAAAATGACCTGTCTGTCCTAACACTGTGGTCCAGAAAATATATTTCTTACCAGAAACCTCACTGAAGGATTTCTAAATGAACCTGGCAGATGTGTGCAAAATCCTACTAAAATGACAGTAAAGAAGTAAAAAGATGTATACCCACAAAGACAAAGAGATTATACAAGAAGAGGAAGTAGATAATAATTTCAATAAAATGTTGAAAAGTGGAAACCTGATGAAAACGAGGGACGGGGAAGAGGTAAGCTGCCATCCTAAAAAGAGATTAAAAAGTCTACATACTGAATGATATACTCCTTTCCTGTTCTCTTTCCCCATTCAAACTTCAAACTACTGGTTCACAGCCCTGTCTAATTCCTATCTCTCCTGACCAAGAAGGGGATTGAAGAAACTCTCTAGGAAAACTCTCTAGCCCCAGAGAAACATACAGCTACTGAAATACAGGGTCTGGTCAATAAAGCAGCAGTCAGATTCCTTACTCAATCACTACATTGTAAAGCCCACCAGCCGACAATCAACCTCACACAAAGAACCTTCAATCAGCTTTTCAGTGCCTCACCTTTAAATACAGCCAACAATCATCAGATACTTAAGAATGACTCCAAAACTACAGCTAGTAGCTAAAATCAACAAGAGGAAAAAAGGAACTCAGGAAAACTAGATAATTCAAGAGCAAAAGAAACCTTAAAACTCTACGTAATATCTTCAGTGGATTAAAACAAACAAAAGCAACAAGATACAAAAAAGGAGCATTCAGAGAAAAAGGAATGGCTCTTGAAAATTGAAAATAGGACGGCAGGTAAAAATGCAATAGAAGAGGCCCTGAGAGCCAAGCGCTGCCACCATGTCTTCCGGAGCCAGCGGGAACGCCCCTGCAGCGCCTAAACTGGAGGCCGCTTGGCAAGGATCAAGGTCTCTCAGGCGGCTGCAGAGCCCCATCAGCACCGCATGCAGAATGTCTGCAAAGGTGTCCTGCTGGTCGGTATTCCAGCCGGAAGCAACCCTTCCAGGATCCCAGATCCTATGCTTTACCCTGAAGACTGTGGGCAAGTTCACTGAGGAATGTCTTCAGGTGCAATGTGATGAAGGACTGCCTCCAACTCTCAAGAAAACACTTTTCTCTAACCAAATGATTTTTAGATATTTCAGATCTTTCCTGTGACCTGGTCCTATAGCCAAAATTCTACAGAAATTGATGAGTTTCTACTCAAATTAGGAAACTAGGCAAAGGAGTAGACTTTTAAATAATAATGACCTGGTTTGTTTGGTTTTAAGTTTTTATAAGGTTTTATAGTTTTAAGACAAACAAAAACCTTACCACCAAATATACCAAAACGCACCTCTTTCATAAGTGAATTACTAGTGTTTCTATACTTGGAATATTATGTTTTTTATTTACTGGATGTTTACATTTTGGGAAGGAAAACATTCTTATTAAAAAATTGAGTATTTGTAATTTGTTGTTCCTAAGATTTTTATACTGTAACAAAATTTGTTCCCTTCTTATGAATTTATACAACTTCTAAATGAAGATAAGCCAATGAAAAAATGGGGGAAGAATAGGCTTTATTAATCAAATGATATCTTGATTTTTCTAAATGAGATTGCTTTATTTGTTAACACTAAACATGGGAGCTGTTTCTTAGCAAACCTATTTGGAAAGATTAATATTGTGTTGTGTATTAGATTGTCCCACTGTGTGTGTGAAGCAGATTTGATTTTTGTCTGCTTACGTTCCTCTATTCCTCTACTTTAAAGTTGTGGTTGTATTTTTTGAAAAATACATTATTTTATGTCTTTAACAAAAAATGTAATGTGAAAAATCTTACAAAATAAATGAATTCTTAATGTCATAAGCGTTTTACTTGATGTGCATTTGATTTAATTTGTGATATTTGAAAGGATACTCTGTGTAATCGTCTTTGAAGAGCTTGGAAATAAAATTACTGCTTCATTTAAAAAAATGCAATAGAAGAGTTGAAAGGTAATTGAAGAATTTTCTTAGAAAGTATAATAAAAAAGCAAAGAGAAAAAAGTTGTAAAAGGAAAGATATGAACATAAGAGGAATAATTCTGGTGTTCAAACATCTAACAGGAAAAGAAAACAGAGGAAAAGAATGGGACAAAATTACTGAAGAAATGTTTATAAGAGATTTACAAAAATGAAGGACCTATAATTCTAGATAAACTGAGTCCACAAGTGTCCAGTATAAGAAAAAAAAAAAAAAAACAAAGAAAAAGAAAAAAAGAACTCTCCAGGGCACATCATCATGAAATTTCAGAATACCAGGACTAAACAGATCTTAAATGCTTCAAGAATAAGGAAATAGGTTTCATACTAGGAATGAGAATGACATCAACTTCTCAACAGGAAGACTGGAAGCTAGAAATCAATGGAACAATGTCTTCAAATTTTTGAGAAAATGATTTTCTGCCTATTATACTCCCAGCCAAACTAGCAATTCAGTGTGAGAATAAAATAACGTTTTCAGATATGCAAGTTCTTAAAATAATGTACCTTATTGCACTCTTTCTCCAGAGGCCATAGGAAGATATGACACCCTGTAAATGGATGATGCAACACAGAAGAAAGAGTAACACAATGCCCATGATAATGAAGGAAATCTTTAGGAAGACAACAGTGCAGTAGGCTTAGAGCACCAAGTGAGACTGGACAGGACAGAGGGCTCCTGAAGGAGAGTTTAAAAAAAAAAAAAAAAAAAGAACTCAGAGAAGCAATTATTAACTCTAACAGAAAAATAAAATCATTCAGCAAACAAAATATTATCATATATAAAATGGCTTCCCTGTAAATATTTACTGTTATAAGGATGTACATTCTGAATACTGACCTAACTAAAGACTTCAATTTAACCATGTAATAAGAAGTGTATGTATGCGTGTGTGAGAGGGTAGAATGTCTGAGAATATATTCCTAATCTTTAACAATGGGAAGTAAATATAATTAAAGTATCAAGAAATAGCAAAAGAAGTATCTTGTTTCAAAAACATGGAGATAACACACTAGAAGAAAGGCTCAAAAAAACTGAAAATGACTGTGGGATAGGCATTTGGGGTGAAAAGAAATAAAAGAAGACATGTATATGTTTACTTTGATAAATATAATAATTTAAAACATCATTGATAAAATTTTGGTTCATTTCTCAAATTATGACAACATACCGTTCAATGGCACGAAGTTTAATCTTATTCATATCCTTGAGAACATCCAACATGTTTGGAACATCTTGGTTTTTCTGGTTTTTTGAATGACGACTATAATTGGTCTTGCTAGCAGCACCTGGGTGCTGTTTTTTCATTTTAGTTGCTGAATTATCTGAGTCACAAGTATTATTAGATCCTGGTTGTACAAGAGGAGCACATGGAGGCGGTAGAGAAGAGAACTGAGGGGGCAGTGGTGGTGGAGGAGGAGGACAGGGGAGCCCTGAACTTGAAAATGGATCTGATTCAACACTCTGTTGAGCAGTCTCTGATGATGGCATTTGTCCCAAACCACCAGGCCCATCATTCAAGTCAAAGGAGCCTAAAAACAAAGTAGTCTATTGAAAAATCATGCAAAATTCTCTTTAATATAACTTACAACACTACTTAGAACCAAAACAGGACCAATTTCTGTAATGCTATTAAAATAATGGAGTGGCTGGGAAGGACATGTGGCGAGAAGTCCCATCTACTTGGTAATTTCCCTAAGAGTCAGGCGAAAGTAAAGTTACTTTTAATCCAGTTAGGACTCTCTGCGCAGACCCTTTAAAGTGGGAAGGGGGAGGTACATTTTAAAAAGAAAATAAAAAGTACTTTTTCAGTAATTCACAATCTGAATTTCATCCTGTATTTTAAAAACAAAAACATGATCAAAAACTTAGTTAGAAACACTCAGGGTCGGCTGAGTGGCTCACTTGGTTAAGAGCGTGAGCTCTGAGCAACAGGGTCGCCAGTTCAATTCCCACATGGGCCAGTGAGCTGCACCCGAACTGAGCTGCCACTGAGCCTCCAACTGGCGGCAGGATGGCTCAGCTAGTGAGAGCACACGCTTCTAACAACAAAGTTGCTGGTTTAACACCCGCATGGGATGGTGGGCTGCCACCCGCAACTAAGATTGAACACGGCACCTTGAGCTGAGCGACCGTGAGCTGCCAACGGGTGGCCAGATGGCGAGTGGACTTGAGCTGAGCTAGCTGCAGCGTCCACAACTAAGACTGAAGGACAACAACTTGGCTGTTCCCCTTCCCCAATTCCCCAACATGGTTCCCCTCCCCCAATTCCCCAATAAAATCATAAAAAAAAAAAACACTCAGAATGGTATATTCGCTCTATGATGACACTGTAGAAACACACAAGCATGTAGTTTTTAGGTAAGAGCCTAAGATGAGTACAGAATACAGTAGTCCCTCCTTATCTGTGGTTTCACTTCCCATGGTTTCAGTTACCCATAGTCAACCTCGGTCCAAAACAATCAAATGGAAATCCGAGAAATGAACAATTCATAAGTTTTAAATTGCATGCCGTTCTGAGTAGCATGATGGAATCTTCCACCATCCTGCTCCGTCCTACCTGGGATATGAATCATCCCTTTGTCCAGCATCTCCACACTGCATACACTCCCCACCCATTAGTCACTTAGTAGCCATCTGGGTTATCAGGTCAACCATTATGGTATCACAGTGCTTGTGTTCAAGTAACCCTTATTCTACTTAATAATGACCCCAAAGCTCAACAGTAATGATGCTAGCAATCTGGATATGCCAAAGAAGTGTCATGAAGTACTTCCTTTAAACAAAAAGGTATATATATACATATATATATATATATATGTATATATATATGAAAACAACATAGCATACATAGGGTTCAGCACTATTCATGGCTTCAGGCATTCACTGGGGGTCTTAGAACCACATCCCCTCAGAAACGGGGGACCTATTGTACTTAACTTTTTCACAAGATTTGCTCCTGAAAGGCTGTGTCACGATAGCTAAAAGAATAATTTTTATGTGTATTTATGTCTCATTTTTATTATTATTACACATTATATAACATGTATATATTATTTATATATTATTATGCATTATATATTTATAACATGTATTTACATATTTATATATAAATTATACATGTGAGTATATGGATGTGTATATATACATATTTATTATGTGTGTGCATGTATACAGGTTAAAGCAAGTTATGTCTCTAAAAATTTAGAAAAGGATCATCTGGAAAATATTATTCACCTAAGTTGGTGGAAGAATAGCAGCAATAACTTCAAATTACAAATATATGAAGCCTCAAATCTATACTCTTCTTTCAAATTAGTATATTCTCTCTTAAATTTCCAATGCTTTTCTGAAGTGCTAGAAAAGTTTACTTAGAAAATGGGCTTTTTAATACAAAACTGCAATCTTCTGCAGTATCTTACTCTTCTTTAAACCAAAGCCATCTCCCTCAATACCAATTTGTCTTAATTTATTCTAAATAAACATCAGACATAATAATTTTATTTATCCTACATCCTTTTATATTTAATGTCATTCATAAGACACATGAACATCAAGCATTCTTATTCAGAACTGTGAATAAAACTTAAATAGTGACTTAAATACTAAACAAGTATCATCTAACAGAAACAAAAATCCAATGCTACTTACCAGAATTGATACTGTTTTTCAGTTCCTGCATTTGCACAATTGCAGCAATCTGAGAGCGAAGAAAAGTTAGTTCATCTTCAAGAGCAGCTATTTTTTTAATTGCAGCTTCACTTACAGGCTGATCATTTTTCATTGGTTTGTTATGTCTTGGAGCAGGTGACAATGGATCCCAAACTACTTGCAATGGATGAAAAAATTTACTTTTCTCCTCTTCCTCATTTTTCCATACACCATTTCTGTGGGTGGAAGGAAGGAAGAAATGGAGGGAAAAGGAGGAAAATTTTCCAGGAGGAATAGATGATTTCAGCCAAAGAGGAATAAAGACACCAAAACAAAATCAGAGTAGCTCTCTTTATCCCATGATTGTCTCAAGACTGAGGACAAGCACCGACATCTTTTATAAAGTAACTTTGTATTTTCAACATATAGAACAGAATGTAGCCTTTAATAGGTGTCCAATAAATGATCAATGAAGGAACAAACCTTCCTTTTAGATTGTAAAACAAAAATAATTATCCTGTAACTGTTCTGCCTAATCGTTTATTTATTTAAAAGTAAAGTTGATTTATTTGGAAATTCTATGTCTCTGTATACACATACAAGGTACTGAAAGGCCTTATATTCAGTATAATGTTAAGGGTAAATTTATGGTATTCTAATTTTTTTAAAATCGATAAACCAGTTGGATACATTAAAAATTCAGTCGTAATATTTGAATAATTGATCCTTATTGTGCATAAATCCTGTATCTGAATAGACTAACAAATAACTTAGTATTCCGTAGGAGAAATACATCCAAATTTTGAAATACGTTTAACATCACTGTCTATAAAAATTATATAAGTTTTGGCTAAATATATAAAATAAAATAAATCTAGTATCTAGTATAGAAAACAGCTTTCTCATAAAAATAAACACAGTGATTCTAACATCCTTTTAATATTCCTTCCTAGGCCTGATGTTAGGTTTAAATGTTCATTAAGAAAAACTGGCTAGAAATGAGAAACAACCAGTCATCCTCATTAGGAAAATATTAGTAGGACACAGCACAGTAGAGAAATAGACAAAACAATTAGTCTGAACAAACTTCAACATGTCCAAGAATTGAGACTATAGAGCACACCCCCACTTTCCAAGATAAGTATATAAAATTACCGAAATCTGAGATAATTGGCTTCTTCATCATTTGCCACACACAAAATATCAGCAAAAGATGGAATTACAGATCCACAGTTACCAGATTCTACAGAGTTCAGGAGTGGGATCAACTAAAGGAAAAAAAATGAAAAAAAATGTCAGAGCTCTGCAGGGAGTGGGGAAAAGACACATACATGCCCAAGGAAATTAAATAAGTTAAAAATCAAAGAGGAAAAAGGAAAAAGGATATTCAACAGAAAACATGCACCTATTAGCAAGAAAAAATACTGAGGAAAATACTATTCTGAAGTCTAAACGTGTAGCACCATTCTCTCCCCTGATTAATGTCATAAAGCACAAACTAAAACAATAAAAAAAGCTACTCAGCAATTGCTTTGTACCTGCCCAACTTTCAATGTAATGAAAGAAAGAAACAGACACAAAAACATATGTGAAATGACTTGTTTCCAGGAATGAACCAAAGGTTTCTGGCTTGCAGGAAATATTTTTCTTTTGTTCTACCTTATATCCTTAGGAGGACCTATGAATATTTTACACACAGTAATTAAACAATGTACATTGACTGACTTACCTCAAAATTAGGCCTGGGACAAGGTTCTAAAGGAAGAATTTTCCCAATAATACGAACAATACTCCGAGTTGATCCATAGTCTTTATTTATCCAAATCTGCAAAACCTATTTAACATAAAGCATTGTTTAAAAAGTACTCTATTGGGCCAGCCAAGTGGCTCAGTTGGTTAAGAGCTAGCTCAAGAGTGCGAGCTCTGAGCAACATCGGGTCGAATCCCAGCCTGAGCTGAGCTGCCAACAGGTGGCAGGATGGCTCAGCTAATAAAAAACAAACAACAACAACAAAAGCATCAAAAATGGACTTTCATTTTTCCTAAGATCCCATACGAAGGACAAAATTTATTACGAGCAACAGATATAGGTCACATCCTATTAGCATCCTCGTGTATACTATATACAGTAAGCATTTGTTGGCATTTGACCTACCAGGTAAACAGGTTCCTAATAATCTTATCTCTTTTTCTAGCTCAAATTAGCAAAGCTATACTATTGCAAATTCACCTTTGTTACACCTAAAAAAAATAACAATTTCGCTTTAAATGCTTACATGTAAATCATTTTCAAAATGAGACCCAAGAACAAATAAAACAGGTTCATTGAAATTTATTAAAGAACATTTTACCTGGTCCATGGGAACACCAAAATATTCCAGCATCTCTCTTAAGATATTCAATATGAAAGACATTGATGAAGCAAATACAGAAGCAAATTCAAGAAAACATCATCCGTTTCTTAATACCTTCAGGGGAAAAAAATTAGAAAATATTGCTCTTGACAAATAAATAATTGTCGCATAAATTGTATTAAATAACCTGAAAGAGTCCTTTCGTTACACATTACACCATCAACTAATCTCTTCTGACCAGCATTACTGTGAAGGAAGTCACAGAAAAAGAGAGGAATGGGGAGTGGGGCAGGCCTGGTGAAGGTAATTTCAATTTATCAGTTAAATTGCATTAAAAGTTCATAGTATGTTTATGCCTAATAAATATCAATTAATAGACTGGACACTTAGCAAGGAAGCCTTCCAGTTAATTGCGACAGCAAAGCTCTCTCTCTCCTTTCAGGAGAGGTTTGAGAAAGCAGGCAGGGGACCAACCCAAAGCTTTAACAAAATGAACAGTAGCTCTTCCTCACAAACGTAGCAGAGTGCCACCCACCCCTTTAAAGATAAGTGACCTTAGTAACCCAACTAGTATGTAACTGGCCGAGGCTAGCGTACGGTCGTGTACCTCGCTTTGGCGGCAAACTTCCTTAAGGGCTCTCCTAACCTAGCATAGTCGCCTTGCTCACCTTCCTCCAAAGCCGAGCCTCCCAGCAAACACGGGAACGTCAAGATAGGCCCTGTTAAGGAATCCTGCCTCGAAATCATCCGTCGACGAAGCCGGGCGTGCGCTAGTCCTGGTCCAGGGCTGCTCAGATGTGTCCAGGAACGCTCAGACCCGTGTCCGCCCCGCGCGCCTCCGCTTGCAAGCCACAGGCGGTAACGACGCCCCGACTGACCCGGGTATGAGACTTGGAGCCCCTTCGCTTAGCCGGGGTAACGCCAGAGGAGGCGCGGCAACCTCCTCCCGTGTCCTACACAACCGGCGTTCTCCTCCAGGACCGGCTCACTATTTCCGCCTTCCTGGACGAAAATCAAACTCCGCGGGCCGTAACCCCGTGCCCGCTCTTATTGGACAAGGTTGAAGTTCACTGCTTGTGATTGGTTGCGCTATAAAGTCAGGTAATTTCGGCTATCTGGACAGACTACTGGGATTTCCTTCTCCTTTAAGAGGGCGTGCCTTCCAAGAGGCAGCCAATAGAAATCAATAGGCAGCTGGTGGGTGGGACAGGCACAGCGGGGAGAGAGAAGACGCACGCGCAAGACGAGGCTTTTGGTTCTCCCGGTGCTCTCAAATACGGGTGTCTATAACCGGGCATTTTGGAGCCATTACGGGCCCTAAAGCCAGGCTTATCCGGAGTTTGTGCTCCTCACAGATCTTCTCAGGAAAAGTATGTCGCCCCCTACACCCAGACCCTAAGCGGGATCGCATTCCGAAGTCCGTTTGCCGCGAGGAGTCGCAATTTGTTTGATCATTCATTCGTTCAATGAGCGAACATCTATTATATGCTATGGGACTAGCAGAAGCTAAGTACTGTTCTCGAGGGATCTGCAGCTTTGCAGTACTTAGAATGTTCCATCACGAAACGCTCCTGGTTATCCAGGCTCCCAAATAAGGGCTGGACACTGACCTGACCTAGCCGCGGATGGCAAAGTGATGACTAAGTCATGACAGGTGATAATCCATTTTTCAACTCGTATCTGAGGTTACTGGCTTCACAAGAGACAAGTTTCCTCTTCTCGTATTTCAGCAAGGGATGAAGAGTAAGTACCATGACAATTTGTTGCCTGCTGCTGACCTACGTAAAAAATGGGTGAAGTTTTTAACCAATTTCTCTATGGCCCATAACATTTACTCATTCAACTAATACTGAATGTCGTGTAACAGGAACCAATCTAAGGACGGGGGAGGCAGGGAGAGGGGTGGCTTACAATAATGCCCAAGGCAGGTAAGGTCCTAGTCCTCCTGGAGTTTACAGTGAGATCTCAAAGAGGCTTTCTCAGCACCATAGCATCTCTTCACCACTCTTACTTTTGTTTTTGTTTTAGCTGAGCCATCCTGCCACTTGTTGGCAGCTCAGCAGCAGCTCAGCTCGGGTTGAGACTTGAACCGCTGTTGCTGAGCTCGCACTCTTGAGTGAGCTCTTAATCAACTGAGCCACTCAGCCCACCCTTCACTCTTACATTTCTTTATAGCAATTACCACCATGTTTATTTATGCTCCCCCAACAGCCAAACTGGGCTGTACTCTCCAGAACAGGAACCTGTTTTGACCCATGCTGTTATCTCCAGTGCTTTAAGAGTGCCTGGTATATAACAGGCATTTAATCAATATTGTTAAATAAAATAATTGATTATGGGATGAGAGAAAACAGACACCAAGAATGACTTGGAAGGAAGCAACTGGAAGAATAGTGATTACAGTGACAGGACCAGTAGTCTAAACTAGATTAGGATGAAAGAAGGGGCAGAAAGTTGTTGGATAATATAAAAGTAGAAAGCAAATGGATCAGCAACCTTACATGTAATTAGTAAATCACATATTCTCAAGTTCCTTGTCCTTCCCTTTTTCCCTGGTAACTAAGTTATCATATTATACCCTCCTCCCTTTCCAGTCTTGTTATCAAATAGCACATAATAGACAGGGCCAGAACGAAATCATCCCTTGAGAACTTAACGGGAACTAAAGCCTCCTTCAGGCTGCATTAACAGAGCTCAACACTTAACTGAGTTAGGTAGCAAGGTGAGCCCAGAGCAGATGCTACACCCCTCCCCCGCTCTCCCCATGAATGCCTTGCTAACAATTCTACCCTAAAATTTCTCAGAGGTCCTTCATCCATTTTGTTTACTAAAGCATCCATACATACATCTTGATAATCTTTTGCAACTTGATATTAATATCATTTTTTCTATTGTTTCATGTAAAATAATTTTTCTGAACGTTTCGAATGGTGCAGGAATCAGAAAAGCTTCCCACTTTTTACATAGCTACCTCGTTTTTGAGTCGTGTTCAGAAATATGGCTGCTTGCTTTGTAAGGTTTTCCTGGCTGTGGCCCCCTCCTTTGTCTATTGTTTGTCCTGCTTGATTCCACTTTCAGTACTTTCTCCTCCATGTGGAGTCCTGTCCCTAAAAGGTCTCTCCAATCCTTACTGTGGGCACCCTGCGCTCACTATTGGAGGGGGAAAAAAACCCAAAGTTTCAGCTGGCTAATGTAGGATTCTCCTTTTCTCATCTATCAGATGGTAACCCAATTCTTCCTTCTACTGACACAGGAATCAGTACCAGGCAGGTTGGTTTGCCCCCATCTGCTTATATTTGGGGGGTTTGTGAGAAAATGTCTGTCACCTAGTTTAATAGTAAATGCTGTCCATAGGTATTTGGTTTGTTATGTAAGGGTATTTTTCCAGAACATTCTAACACATTATAATCATCATACTATGTTCTGGATCCCCAAGACCAAGAATTTTTCATTCATTTTACACCCAATGCCAGGCATCCTTTTTCAATGAATTAATAGAGAGAAGATAAGGGCTGGCTTAGACAAATGCTAGAAAGATATGTACTCAATCTTGCCAACTGCCCAGAACTTCATTAGCCTAGTGACGTAAGCCTATGTTTTAGGTGATTAGGTTAACTCAAATTACTGTAAATATCTTAAACAATGGGGCAGAATACAATATAACGTATTACACCGAAGTACAAAATAAGTCTCTCCGACTTTAACCATGAGTCTCATGAAAGGGTGATCTCCAGATTGGGATGTACACACCCAGAAAGTTCATTTAAGTTTTATATTTCAAAAGGAAAAATAATTAGGGCATTTTTCCTTGTTATGCCTGTTTGAAGCTTTTCACAGCATAGCAGTAACACAGTACACTTCAAACAGACTAGTGCTATTTAAGATTACACACCTCTTAAAGTTTCTTTAAAACTTGACAATTATTAAAAAATTTTAGGGCCGGCCGAGTGGCGTGATGGTTAAGAACTGGCTTGGGACACCAGAGGGCCCCGGTTCGGATCCCACATATG